AAAGGTTGTTGAATCTCTGAATGAACTCATAAAAGAATGGTAGCAGCCTTCATTGCTTCCAGAGAAGAGAACTGGATACTTGGGTGTAGAGCTAGGAGGGAGATTTATTTTTTGTTGCATATGTTTTGAAATTTTACACAATATCTACTGTTATCTATTCAAAAATTATTAATTTCAAGACCATTGAGTGCATGATAGCAAAACTATTGGGGGTGGGGAGGAATTCCCCACCACCCTGTTAGTATCAAGCCTGTCTTTCCCTAAAAAAAAAAAAAAAAAAAAAAGTTCTCTTTTCTTTAAATAAATATGTTACACAATTATCAATATCTAAAATGAAACTATTGTCAATGTAAGAAACGTCTACACCTGTAAATAATTTAAAAAATATATTTGTATTGATTTCAGAGAAGAAAGGAGAGGGAGAGAAATAGAAACATCACTGATGAGAGAATCATTGATCAGCTGCCTCCTGCTTGCCCCACACTGGGGATCAAACCCATAACCCGAGCATATGGCCTGACTGGGAATCGAACCATGACCTCCTGGTCCATAGGTCAACACTCAACCACTGAGCCATGCTGGCCAGCCTCCTGTCAATAATTTTTATTACTCCATTTGAGCCAAACGGATGCCAATTGCCGGGAAGCAGAATCTAAACAGATTGAGAAAATGCTCCTGAAAATGGCAGTTTTGCAACTTATTTTATACGTTAGAATAAAAGAAGGAGTTGTCAGGAGGATTACATAAAATTCATTGGTAATAGATTAAGGGGGCAGGAGAAAGCAAAGTGGGGAAATCTCTGAGATTAGATAAAAAGCAAAACGGTGGGTACAGGATAGTTAACATCTCTAGCACACAGAGGTGGTATTTGGGCAATAAGATAACGATGTGGTCTCATGCTCTGGTTGTGCAATTGTACCTTAGAGGGGGCCTGGAAAAGATAAATACTCTGGCATTTCCAAGGTATGTTATCTTAGTTGCACTAAGTCAATAGACAGGCTTACTCAAAGGTAAAGATTAATCTTTGTCAAGGAAGCTACAGGCCTAGGATGTGACCACCAGCCATGACCCACTCTGAGTTAGGAATTTTAATGTTCAGACCATCCTATGTGGTTACTTTCTGTCTCTGAGTTTGTAAGGCCCGTCATGCAGGCCTCCCTTGAGCTTGTCAGCTTTGGTATGTGGCCCCCTTTTTGTCCACACTATTTAAAAAGGAGAAAAATGCAGTCACAACTTTTCCTCAATTTCTCTACCTTTTTCCATTTTGTCTGCTTAGGTTCCATGGAACCCAATAGGAGAGGCGTTAAGAAGGGAGCACAGGTGGAGACAACTAGAAAAGAGAGAGAGGACAAGTCCTGGGGGTCTGGAAAGGGTGAGTATGGAAAGGAGCTCAGGACAGCCATGTGGCCGCTGAGCTCAGCCATGAGGAAGAACTGTGGTTCCTTTCATCATCCCCAGCTCAACCTGCATCCTTGGTCCCTGCTTCTGCTTGCTCAGCTCCTGGCCTCCTGGGAGGAGGATGCCTGGCATGGAAATGTTACTGAAGATTCTCGGTCAGGGTGAGCTAGGGAGAGGACAAGAGTTTACATAAACCAGAGCATGAGGAAACAGACTCCCTCCAATAGGGAAAGAGGACCTGGGAGGCAGACACTGCAAGAGAAGTGAAAAACACAGGCCTGACTTCCCGCAGCTGCTCCACCAACAGTAGTCTCTGCCCCTGTTCTGGCTCTGGCCTCCTCCCAGAAACCCAGAGAAACCTCAACTGAAAAGTCAAGTAAGGAGATACCAGCTCCCTGGTCTCAGGGTAAGAAAAGGAAGTTTTATGAAAAGAAGACAAAGGAAAAAACCAAAGTCTCATATTGTGCAACAGGTGAAGTCCCACATTGCCCTACCCAGAGGACTCCATGTTTCTGCTTATAATTCCCGGATGAAGCATTTCTTCACGAGGGTAACCAGGTCTCCTGCAGCTTCTGGGGAATGGAGTTCCTCCCTTCTAATTTGCTCAGGGGCAGGGAGGTGTCGAGGAAAAAGATTCCACTGTGAGGGAGAGACCCAGATTCTGGCCTAACCCTGCCCGCTCTCTAATAATAAAGCCAGAGACCGGCCACAGCTCTGCTCTAGACTTCCTAGGACAAACGAGAGGATACAATCTTCCAGCTACGAATTCAAGGTCTCCCCGCCCCCACCCTCAGAGTGTCACAGGAGTTTCAAGAAGGGGCAGGCTTCCCCTTCACCTGGCTGGTGGGTTTTGTGCCCTTCATGAAGCCTCAGTCTTCAGTTTCAGCTGCTGATGCAGACCCTCCTCTTGAGATGTCTCACCCGTTATCATCCATCATCTTGGAATGTGTCCATTCACCCTGGGTTTCTCTTTCAGGGTATTTTGTCTCACTATCTAGAATGTTCCATTACCTTTCACACTGGGCTCGAGGGAGCCACTGGCGGTGACTCTTTAGTTGGTGATTGTATTAACTTCCTATTGCTGCTGTAAAAAATTACTACAAACTTGATGTCCTAAAACAGCACACATTTGATTCTCTTTAAGTTCTGGAGGTCAGAAGTCCAAAATCTGTTTCACTGAGCTGAAATCAAGGTGTCAACAGGACTGCTTTCCCTCTGGGGCTTGAGGGGAGAGACCATTCCCTTGACTTTTCCCGCTGCATTCTTGCATTTCTTGGCTCCTGGCCTCTTCCTCCATCTTCAAAGCCAGCAGGGTAGTATCTTGCTTCAACTGTCACACTGCCTTCTTGCCTTCTGTCTTCAAATCTCTCTCTGCCCCCTCATTTAAGGATACTTATGACTACAGTTAGGGCCCAACCAGATAATCTAGGATAATCTCTCCCTCTCAAAATACTTAACTTGATCACATCTGCAAAGTCCTTTTTGTCATATAAGGTACTATTCACAGGTTCTGGGGATTAGGATGTGGACATTTGGGTGGCCTGCCTAGTGATCTATACCTTGTCTCAGGCTTGGGGGTCACCTACTCTGTCTCTCAACCACTTCCCTCAAAATAGAGTTGAGTGTCTTTAGACAAAGACTACCTATACAATAACCTTTCAGGCCACTCCATCTTCCTCCATTCATTCCCTTTAGGCCCTAGGACAGTGCCATCCAATGGGACTTTCTGCCATGATGGAAATGTTCTATATTTTTGCTGTCCAACAGGGAGCCAGCCACTAGCCACATGTGGTCAGGGAGTACTTGCAATATGACTAGAGCAACTGAATTATAAATTTAATTGACATGTAAATAGCCACTTATGGCTAGTGATTAATATATGGAATAGCTCAGATCTAGGCAGATGGAAAGCAGAAGCCAAGACCAGTCAGGCCCTTTTTCTGCTAGCCTCTTCTCACACCATTTTGGATCAGCTCTGCCCCAACCTCCTCCTCTCAGTCCCTGTGGAACCTAAAGGAGGTTTCTAGTGGGGCTCTGGGATGGTGGATGGCTGAGGGCAGGGCAAAGAAGGGAACTGTTTGGCCCCAGAGAGGCAGAGTTCCAGTTCTGCTTTTGCATTGGACTACGAACTCTCAAATATTTTATAAGGTTGCCCTCTTTACCCTACTTTCACAATGAGTTGTCCTTTTTGGCTCCACAGAGGCATGTCTCAGGGAGCACAGAAGAAGGGACTAACCTGGGACGTGGTACTGGCTGGAGTTCCGCTCTGTCACCCATCTGCTGGGTGGCCTTCAGCAACTCTCTTCTCAGTCCTTGGCCCTCAGTTTTCATAATACGAGAGGGTTGGATGAGACCGTCTGAGAGGTTCCTCCCAGCTTTAATAGACTACAATTCTGTGTTTTGTAGATCAAAGCTTGATTGTGCACGTAATTCAATCTCAGAGCCCTGTTCTGACTCATGTAATAGTTCTGATTGAAGGGTTATTGAAGGTTACTCCCACAATACTCCAGAACCAAATCTGACTTCTTCTGTCCTCATGATAACACTCCCCCTTTGCTTTGGGTTTAGAGAGCTGATCCACTAACTAATCTAATCCACATCATGGCACTAGGAAGACAGACACAATGCCCATTGTAAGTGAAAAAGCTAGGCTCAGAGAGGGAAAGAGAATGTTCCAGATGTCAGACCCTGTGATGGGTGCTTTACGATCTCTATATATAAAAGCTTAAGCAACTATCCAATTCAACTGCCAGGACCGTCCAACTGGTAGCTATGATGCGCAATGACCGCCAGGGGGAGGATGCTCCAACCAGTAGCTATGACACCCACGGACCACCAGGGGGCAGACGCTCTACGCAGGAGCTGCAGTGCTGCGGTGACTTGGCAACTGCGGTTTTTGGGTGACGCACCCAGAACCAGAGAGGAGGGAGCCCAATTCCAGGGTGTGTCACCCGAGAAACTCCCTCTCGCAATCTGGGGCCCCTCGGGGGATGTCAGAGAGCCGGTTTCAGCCCAATAACCACAGGTCAGGCCGAGGGACCCCACTGGTGCATGAATCTATGCACCAGGCCTCTAATAACCTCATAATAGTCCTTGCAAATGGATAATATTGCCCCCACTTTACAGGTGTAAAAATTGAGGTCCAGTAAGGCAAGATGACTTTCTTAGTGATATGTTGATAGTAAGTGGAGGCCCATTTTTATGACTCTGAACTACCTTGTCTTGCCTCTATATCATACTCCTGCTGCTATTTACAACTTCTCTACCAGATGTTGAGATGATAACCCTTAGCATCACAGCTGTCCTTTCGGATCATCCCCTCATGGTGCTCTCCAAACAGACCTACAAGCCTTAGCAAGTTACATCATCTCTGTGCCTCTGTTTTCTCATCTGTAAAGTTGGAGGTAAGAATCCCAAATTCATAAGGGTGTTAAAATCCTTGGTGAAAGTATTAAGTGAGATCATGTCTTTAGAGCATTTAGCCCATTTGAAGTCCTCAGTAATTGCTCATTCTTATGGTGTTTGGAAATGGTAGTTTGTCCCTATTAATAACACCAGGCAATTCCCGTTGCACCAGATCAAATTAAAACACAAAGAAACTATATATTCTTAAGTTTTATTATAAAAACACATGGAATCAACCGCATGACCCATGTATCCGCAATAGCAGAGAAACTGATGGTGGACCATCCCCATGGGGGACATGTGCCCTTTGGCAAAACCAACATAAATTATGAAAATAACACAAAATATAATAACAGCACATAATAAAGATTAAACTGAGAGATGGAACAGGGACTACTGAGAGAAGTAGTGAAGGTGGAGAAGGTGGGTCTCAGAGAAGCGTCAGGCCCAGGTGACCTTCCCTGGAGACCTGCCTTTGTGCCTGGAGCAGCTCAGTTCAGTTCCAGGTCATTCATGTACTCCTGGACCCAGGGCTCACTGGGGTTGGCACAGATCTGTCTGCCCCTTTTGGTTTGAAATCTGCGGAAGGAGGAATGGATAGATTAGAACTGAATGGGACCTTGTCTGTGGTAGATACTTCCCTCTGCTTGACCACAGTTCATGTTGGACAGCTCTAGTGGGTGGGAAGACCCTTCTGGGGTGGCTCTGGAAACAGACTCCTTGTAACTTCCACCCTGGATTTAGCTGTGGCCTCAGCTAATTTGGTTCCCAGATTAGGAACCAATGAGTTTTATAATCAACATGACTGTATCTCCCCATTCATTCCCTAGTGCACCTAGCAATAACCTTTCTATGTGTTTTTCTAAGATGTTTTAAGGATCAGCCCACCTTCTTGTGCTATTTTTTACTTTCCCTAGTTTTCTAGCATCTGGCTCATTTCCTCCCCAGAAATGTCCTCCCCCTGAATCTTGTCTCTTGATTCCCTCCCAGCCCCCTCCAGGATTCAGCAAGTGACTTCATGACCTTGTTCCTTATGACTTTCTGGGGGGCTGCAGCCCTCAGGCCTGTCTCCCTCCTGTTTGATCCTCGCCCTGCCCTGCCCTTGTTTTCCAGAGAAGGCCAGAAGTTGATACTCACACCACAGCGGGCTGGGAGCAAAGGCTGCTGGTCTCGTAGTAATCCATCACAAAGTCCCGAGGAAGTTTCCGGAGGATGTAGGAGAAGCAGCAGGCAGTGGGAGGGTCGGAACCCACTGGAAAGGAAGGCCAAGGTGAGATCAAAGCTCTACAAGACGCTGCTCCTTTGGCTTTTAGTTATGGATATTCATGGGGCATCTCTGTGGAGTTATGAGAGCCCAAATATGGTCCCTTGTCTAATCCCATCCACCCTGAGTGGGAGTCTTTTTCTGAACATAGGATCCTAAGAGAAGGTAATGGAGCTGGATTGGGTCTCAGAGCACACATCTAACTCCATTTAACAGATGAGAAACCAAGACACAGAGAGAGACGGGGGCTTTCTTGAACAGGTCTACTGGTTACTGTTTCTTAAGAAAACAGAAACTTGAATGTACCGAATGTCTAGTAGACACTACATTTAACAGCAGACTACTTAAAAATCTCCCCAGCGCCCTTTTGTCCCGTCCCCAGATGCCACTGTTGGACCAGCCCCAACTAGAAAAGTAGGCTCCCTACACTATGGCTCTAGAAGCAGTAGCTGGAATAACAGACTTACTTGGTGCTGAGAGCACTGGAGAGCAGAAGGCCGCCGCTAGCACGAGGAGAGAGAGGACAGTCACACAGAGCTTCATGGTCTTGGCAGAGAAGAGGCTTTCCTGGAGCTGAGACTGAAGAACCCAGAAGCTTCAGAACCCGACTGTGTTCTGTGCTGATGCTGAGCTGGGATCCCCTCTTTATAGGAACTCTGAGGACTGGGACAGAGGTGGGAGCATAGGGGGGCAAGTGGAATTTCCAGGGTAGAGATGATGTCATGGTGCCGATACGGAAACTGAAGTAGCTGAGAGTGAGGAGCTCTGCACAGCTTCTCTTCCCCGGGGCGATGTCATCACGGTGGAAAGGAGGAGGAGGTGGAGGGGAGAAGTGGGCTGCACCCTCGAGGGAAGTGGTACACCAACGGCAGTGACCAAGACCAAGGAGAGAATTGTAAACCCGAGAGGAAGGGTGCAGCATTCACACCTGCGAGAAGGACTTTAGACAAGACAACCATGCTGTTCTTGGTGGTTGTCACCTCCAGAAGCTTCATGTCAGTCTTTCTAAAGTTGCCATAAGCCTGGCCCCAAAAAGGAAAGGGGAACTAGAACTCCATGTCAGATTTGTGGACCTCCTGCAGGGCTGAGTCACCCTAGTGCCTATATGTTTCTTTGGGTATAAAGAGTTCAGCATGGAATGTACAGAAGGGCCCAGCAGGACACTGACCTATTTATCGAACAGGCACTGCGTGCCAGACACTGGGCAAGCTGCCTTATATACATAACATCAAATCCTACCTTGACCTGAGCAGGTGTGTGATTATTTCCCGGAGGCAATAAAGATCGAAGAACAGAGGAGAGTTCACTGATAATTTCAAGGCCACGATCTTAAGTGGCGGTGCCAAGATTGAAATGAGATTCTTTTGACTCTAAAATCCATTTACTTTTCACCCTGTTGTCGCAAATATTGAATGTGAACACAAAGGGAGAAGTTATTGCCCACCAGGGACTATGGTACACACAAAGAACCATCTTATTAGGGCTGAATTCAGGACAGGAGTTTGGGTCAGTCTGTCCTAGAACAAAGAGGGGACAGAAGGAAACAGAAGCAAAGATTCCAGTATGTTCACTTGGACCCATAATAGAAAACGAAAGAAATAAGTAAGAATCAAGTTTGGAAAACCCACATAAAGAATGTTCCTCCATAATTTACGAAGTGATCACCCCAATAAGTCTAGCACCCACTTGAGACATGTATAGTTATTACAATATTATTGACTAATTCTCCATGCTATACTTTACATCCCCATGACTATTTTGTAACTGCCAATTTGTACTTTTTAATCCCTTCATCTTTTTTTACTTTTGTAAATTATATATATATATATAAAACCACTTATGCTGTACATCTGAAATTAATATAAAATATTGAATGTCAACTGAAATTGAAAAAGAAAAAATAATGTTCCTCTAATATATAAATGGGATTGGATGTACCTAGCAATGAATTTATCTATGTTATGGTTAAAACATGTAATCTAAGCATGTGGGTGTTTCCCAGCCATCCATAGGGGATTCCTTGTGTTCATATAAAGCCCTGCCTGGTCCTCTAGCTGCTTTCTGGGAGGGCTGCAGTCCTGAGGCCTGAAGTGACCTGAAGGTGATTAGGTAAAGTTCACCAAGGCCAGGAACACAGTAGTACATGCAGAGGGCAAGTGAGGGCAATTAGGACGATTGGATCAATATCTCTATTTACCTTCCAACCACTCTGACCCACCTGCTCACCCCTGCTCCACATTGCTACCTGCCTCTGTTCCGAGAAAGAAGAATGAAGAGTGAAAACAGGAAACCAGGCCCCCTAGGTGCTGTAGAGGTGTGGGATAGGCGAGGGGCAGAGCAGCATCTTGGGGTACTTCAGAGTCACTAAATAAAGCACAATGTCATCTGACCTCGCATCACTGCCTCCACCATCACCTACACACACCGCAACCCACACACATACAAACTGTTCCTCTTTCCTCCACTTTTTCTATCCTCACCCTTTTCTTTGTACAAGTCTTGCTTCAAATGTTCTGATCTTTACCAAGGCCCCTATCCCCAGCTCTAATGTTCTATAATCCCTCATATCACATATGCCAGTATCTCTCTCGGTCTCTCCTGGTTGGTGGGGTTTCATCTTCATTTATCAAGGACATTACTTTAAGGGAAAGAGGGTGTGTCTTGTGTTCCTTGGGATCTACACAGACTTTGTTATCCATTCCATTTCCATTCAACCTAGAAGTCACCCGCTTTTTGTCAGGGAAGGCAGAGCAGAATGAAGTCCCATCCCTCCCCTCAAAGAGCTCTTAGTCTAGTGATGGTGTTGACAGTGACAGAAATAACTATCCCATGAGATGGAATAAAGTAAGTGTCACATCAGAGGTAGAAACAAAATGTCAGAGCTTCCCTCGGCTGTAGACGCATAGTTCCAAGTCAAGTCTAAATCCCCCTGTGTGCTGAGGAGGAGCCCTTGCTGTGGAGACCTCTGTCTAAATGAGTGGGGTGTGCTGATCTTCAAGCAGTGGAGGGACCTTGAAGATACTCTGGGGCCTTAGGAGAATGATGATAGATAAGAATGGGTGATGAGTCTGCATGGAGCCACACAATGAGTTTGTTGGCTTTTTGCTTCTTAGCCTTGATTTGATCTTTGGCTCATGGAGGAAAAATGTTTTGTTCATGAAGGTCCCAACAATAATATTGTGTTCACAGAGAAATTCAACACCAAGAGCACGAAGGTGTGTTAATATGTTTAGCTAAATCAATATGGCCACCAAGATTTATCCATTGAGGCCATTTCTAAACAATAGGTGACAGAGAATGATAGCAAATGCCTCTCGGGTGCACAACAGGAAAGTGCTCATCTTCTCTAGAGAAACTTCCCTAGACTCTCCTCCAACTGAATTCTGCACCTCCCTCTGTGCTCCCACAGCTCCTGAGCTACCACCATCATATCACTTGAAACATATCTATTTGATCACCTCCCCCCCTGGAGAGTGAGCTCCTTGGTGCAGAATATGTGTTATGCCTATCTCTGTGCACTCAATAAGTGTTCAATAAATACTTGTTTAATAAATGTCCAGAAGCAGCCCAAACTACCAGTTTTAATGGGAGGGGGTGTGATAGGTAACATGGACTCAGGATGTGACTCCATTTAAGTGAAGAATGAAGTGGGCATTCTACTCAAAATGTGATTCCCCAGCCCTGATGGGGTGATAATTCCCCTTCTTCCCCTGCCTGCCCTCAACCCACACACCCGGTGGTTTTTATTTAAGGGTTACTATTTTAGAACTCACTCTTTCCAGCTCAGGGGTGTGAGAAATGATAGCAGGAGTCCATCATTGCTCCAGGGAGCTCCAAATGCATTCAGTAGGTCACCCACTCTCTTGTTGCAGGGAAACCTTTCACTTCCCCTCACTTTTGGGAACAGAGCTTTCTCCTTCTGTAACCTTAATTGGCACTGTGCTCACAGCTCCATTCTGGGCACTTTCACATCAGTTTTGTCACTTGTCCTCCCGGTCTCTGTAAGCTGCAGGCAGGACTAGCAACCCCTGACCTTTCAAAGGCCCTGGTACTTTTCCTTTCCCCCAGGATATCGAAGTCCATGGTTTTATCAGATACCAATCTAGATAACAAAACCTGAAGTAGTTAAAAGACTGGATCAAGGTCACACAGGATGTGTGGTAGGACTACAGGTCCATAGAGGACCAACTTCCTGTACAGGTGTGACCCTCTGAGATGGCACAGGTAGGGGATCTCTGAAGGTATCAGCTTCTCAGAAGAGACTGCAAAGCTGCTGAGGATCAGGAAACAGAGGTGACAATCTTGACGATCTGTGTTCTCTTAGAAAGAGTGCTGAGATGCATGAGTGTTGGGGAGACCACTGAGTGTTGGGACCAAGAGCATTAGTCACAACAAGGTAGAATGCCTAGAACTAGAGAATCCCTTACAAGCAATTCATGAGACTGGAAATCCATAGCAAGATGGAATACATGGTCACTTTGCCAACATAATAAACAAAGAAGAAGTAAATTTTTTGGTTTTGCCAATATGGTTGCCAAGTCACTTGGGGGAAATGGGATTGTAGAAACAAGGACACCATTATCCAAAGTGCAAGGCTCAAGATGGTGTCTGGAGGAGAGTAAACTAGTTGAAGCAATGCATCAGGGCAGCCACACTCCACCCCTCAGCCAGCCAGCCCCACTCTTCTGAAAGTGCAAAGGGCCTTCGACACCCACCACAGCCTGCTCTTTTGCAGTCAGGAGTGGAAGGCAGCGACAGGTTCTAAAAAACCTTCAGTATTCTTGATGAAGCATCTTACTTCCTTCAAACAACGCTTTTATGCCTGTTTCTATCTCTTTGGGTTGAGAAAGGAAAATAAATCAGTAGCACTTTACTGAGTACCTGCTATGGGGCAGGCCCTATGTCAGGCACAAGGAAGCACTTCATACCCCCTCCCCTTTGGAAAGTGGTGAGTGTTCAAAAAGGCTTCCCCAAAATGGCATGTAAACATTTATATTAGTTTGCTTTGTTTTCAATAGCAAATGTACATGATAACTGTACAAAATTTAGAAAATATAGGAAATCATAAGAAAGCAAAAATTACCCAGCATTATGTATGTAGTTTTGCATTTTATAAATGATACTTACTAGTCTTTCTTGAGCTAATATATTTTAATATTGTTACTTTATATTCTTCCCTGTCATTAAAAACTTAAATTCCTGGAAATCAAGACTCAGCCCTCTGAGTGCCATGTCATTCCTTAAAAGTGTAGGTCTCTTGTCTGCTTTTTAGGAATGAGGTGTCAATTTGGAGTGATTCCAAATCAGCATGCATGATATTTCATTGCATGGATATACCAAAATTTTATGCCAAAATGTATCTTTAACCATTATGTTACTTAGGTCAGTCCATTCAGATTGTTCTAACTTTTCTCTATTATACATTGGGCTGAAACTTGAAGGATAATTAGCCAGGAAAAGAGTGGGGGGGGGGGTGTATTTAGGCAAAGAACAAGAGGCTTACACTTTTTAAATGTATAAAGTAGATTAATTGAAATGTTCAGTAGTAATGATAATAGTAACTAATACATAGTACTTACTATGAGCCAGCGATGTTCTAATTCTTTTGTAGATGCTAATGTATTTGGTCCTATTAGTACTATCTCCTGTCACACTTTAGGAAACTGAAGCACAGACAGGTAAGTAATCTACGGAAGAACACACAGCTAATCATAATAGATTTGGAAATGACCCGAAAGAGGTCTGGCTCTAGAGCAGAGGTCCTCAAACTTTTTAAACAGGGGGCCAGTTCACTGTCCCTCAGACAGTTGGAGGGCCGGACTATAGTTTTAAAAAAACTATGAACAAATTCCTATGCACACTGCACATCTCTTATTTTGAAGTAAAAAAACAAAACAGGAACAAATACAATATTTGTATTTGCATGTGGCCCGCGGGCCATAGTTTGAGGACCCCTGCTCTAGAGTATAAGTAAATCAGAAAAGGAAAATGTGCTTGTTACAAATTTATGTTAAAAGCTTATCACCTGCCTGGCCATGGTGGTTCAGTGGTTGATTGTCGACCTATGAACCAGGGAACCCAGTCTAGGCACATGCCTGAGTTTTGGGCTCAATCCCTAGTGGTGGGCGTGTGGGGGGGCAGCTGATCAACGATTCTTTCTCATCACTGATGTTTCTATCTCTCTCTCCCTTCTTCTCTGAAATCAATAAAAATATATATATTTTTTAAAAAGCTTAATAGCCAAAGTTTTGTAATTATGATGTAAAATGTCTTTCAGTTTTACATATTGCATATCTTTTAAACAGTGGAATTCATGGCTTTCTCTCTTTTCCTTAGAAAGTTAAGGGAATTAAATAGTGGTTTTCCTTATTTGTTCTAAATATTAACCTCTGCAGCTCTCGTGGGATGTACCCGTGTTTATATTACTCACTCTGCCCTGTGATTTACAAGAGGAGGAAATTGTGCTGTGCCAAGTTGACACCTCATTCCTAAAAAGCAGACAAGAGACCTGCACTTTTAAGGAATTGCATGGCATTCAGAGGGCTGAGTCTTGATTTCCAGGAAGTTTGAAGGTGGCAAGTGATGTGGCCAAAGGCGGGCAGAGGTCAGGTCATGGAGAAGCTTCCGTTTCATGCTGGAAACAACTCAGTATTTAAAGGCTTTTTAACAGAGAGAAACAGAGACTGATTTGCACTTTAGCAAAATCATTTCAGATGCTGTGTGATGGTGG